TCCCTCTATTGGTGCCGGCGTGTAGCCGGCTTGCTTCCTGTCAGCGGGGTGACAGCTGTGTACATCTGGCCGCGTCGAGGCCTCTTACAGCTCAATCCACACGTCTGGGCCTCCGGACTCACCTCATTACCGCCCGAGCCACACCTCCATCTGTCCGGCTAATATCTAAATCCTACTGCAGATTAGTGGGGGGGGGGGGGGTCCTAGAGGAAGGGTTTGTGCCCGGCCCGTGAGGTTTTATTAATGATCTCCAGGGTGGTGGCGGCTGCTTTTTGGGGGGGTTTGTGGGCAATGCGGGCGTGTTGAGGGGGACGTACATAATATTTGTCTTTTGCATCAGTTATCCCCCACGGTTGCATCATTATGAACACAAATGCACAATGTGCGTTCCTTCTCACACACACCATCCTGATGCCACACACACACTTCTGATAATGGGGGGAAATTCGCAGAAACAATAGAGAACCCGCTCTATTGACTTTCCCTTAATGGAAAAAACACACTTTTTCCATTGGACTTATTGACAACAGTGTATTGCACATAATATTGTTTAATAATAGACAGTTTTCTGTAATATAAATACAAATATCACAGAACTACCCTTTAACCAGAACATGCAAGGCCATTAAAAGTCCCTTCTCCGGGGATCTGTTGATCATAATCTGGTGGCTGTTACCACTAAAAAGTATTGAATTGCACCAGAAGAGGGTATTCTGGTCCGCACAGGGTTTGCATGAGAGGGCAATAAGAGAAGCTCACAAAACGAGTTGTGGTTTTTGTGTGCGGTAAATCTACAACAATTCAATTCCACCAGTTCAGCTCATCGGAGTGATGGCGAAACAAAATAAATAAACATTGAACGAAAACAGGTTTGTTGAATCCACAGCCGGGGAGACGTGAACCCGGGCCTGCTCGCAAGAGCAGCAACCCAATCTGAGCCCAGCACTTCCTGCGGGTGGGAGGGGGGGTCCCTGGTCCTCTGCTCATATCTGGACAGCTGCTTTTGTTGACGGACATGTGTCGGTGTCGGTGGGCGACGATTGACTCGTTACTCGCTGAGGCTCTGAGAGCTGCTCGGTATCGCTGCTGTTCAGGGACTGTTTGGACCGACGGGGACGTTTTTATCTGTTTGACTTGTCAAACTCTGGCTCAGTTTTACGCTGAACCCGAGCAGACAAACACCTCGAATGTAGTCCACATAATAATAATAATGTTTTGTTTGTGCACAGATGGTGAATGGTTGCATAATGTATCTTGTTATTATGTCTTTAATATTTGATACCCCCTTTTACCGTTATATTGTATTTATATTACCGTGTAATCAATAATAAATGAGTACATTAGTGCATGTTATCCAAATATAATAATGTATGGCCTCTTCTGTTAAACTTCATCTGCCATTGACATTTATTATAAGAACAATACCACGTTGCTTTGAGTCGATTCCACTATATCACTTATAGATCATATTATTACACCAGTATAGCAGATTTTATTTTGAATAAATGCAATGTACGTGTTTGAATAGAGCGTGCACGTGTCTGCGAGTCTCTCACTCCTCAGCGTGGCTCGTTATCGTCCAGGCGGATTTTATACCATATCAGTCGATCCAAGAACACGCTGTAAGGACAAGTTCAGTCAGTCAGGAGGTAGACAAAAGAAACCGTGGAACTGTGACACAAACATACAATATGTAGAGATGAGAATTCTATCAGACTGAGTACAAAACAAAGGCTTTACGTGGGATATTCTTGTGTTCAGGATATTTGGTAGCGTGGCGCCATCTGGTGATAAAAACAGCACTTCAAAGTATTTTATCTTACTGGTGTTAAATGTATGTGAGTTACAAATATCAAGGAACTGCAGGAAAATCTACCAAATCAGTTGCATGTTCACAACAAACAATTACATGAATTGTTCATATTATAATCAGCATTTTCATAAATGTTTTTCATTTATTCAGTTTATTTTATTGCGTTGCATCCTCGCATCTCGCTGGAAACCAAACAAACAGATGGAACGTCTTCGCGTGCGCACGTAAACAAACCACACGTGTACCACCGGTGCGGAAGCCGGCGGACCGAAGGGTCAAAGGTCAAGTCGCTCCGATGAAGTCACAACACCTTAGAGAGCTGGGAGAGGCAAATATAAGCGAAATACTGAAGAAGGGCATTAGGGAGCTGCTTTTGGCATATTTAGAGAATACAAGACTAATGAATAGAATTTGAGAGCTTTTTTAAATTTAATTTAATTTATTTTTGATTTGTTTTGTTTTTGATTTGGTTTAGTTCTAGTAGAGGTTTAATTTCCTTAAGTCCACACTCCAGATCAGTGGGTGGCGGTAATGCACCCGAAAGTTGTTTGCCAACCGCCATAAAAAGCAAAAGAAGAAGAAGAAGAAGAAGAAGAAGTCACAACAAACATGGCGGCGCTCGGTGCAGCACGGCGCTTACTGCGGAGCTTCTCGCGGGGGAAACACGCACCGAAGGGCGGGCGGGTGTCGGTGAGATGCAGCACCGGGACGCCGTGCAGCGGCGCACAGGACAAAGGTGTGTTTTCATACGACGAACGGCGCTGTAGTCGCAGCATTCGCTCCGTTGCGACGCTGACCTTGTAGCCGGTTTCGTTAGCATCCATGCTATCAGTGCGCGTGTCAAACTCGCCCCACAGATCTTCCGTTTTTAAATCGCCGTACTTATTTGATGAGATACAGACCGAGTAAAGGAGCGTTGAATGCGTGGCACGAGTTATTACCGGCTGGGTGTTGATTCGGCATTATGTTGGTGGCAATGCGAGGCGCTTTGTACTCAAATCTAACGTTAACTTTCTGCCGCGTTAGCATGCTCGTTTCACCTGGAGAAGAAGGCTGCATTCGTATGCATAGGACGATATAAAGGCCTCTCCAAAAGTCAAGTATGGCTGTATTTGGTCTGGTATGTTTACTTTTACTAAGTTACAATAAACGTGTAGTCGCTCTCCTTCAAATGTACCTCGTCATAGATGCATTCCTCTTGCGTGTTGTGGTCACAACAGCGTAAACCGATATGAAATTGGCTTACGTGTAACTTCTGAGATTTACAGTGTGATTCTTTTCCCCGGCGCTGCCAGACGCTGCAAAGCCCCAGTTCACAGATCCCGCTGTGCAGGACGTCCTCGGCAGGATAACGGGCCTGGACCTGCAGAAAGTGTTCCGACCCGTTAAAGAGGAGCTGAAGCCGCCCACGTACAAACTCATGACCGATGAGCAGCTGGCGCAGGTTCCCTTCTCTTAATCGCACTCAGGCACGCGCCGGTCACAGCGCCGCTTTTTTTTCATCTGACCTCTCGTGCGGCTGTTTGCAGGCGGTCGCGTCGGCCACCGAGCAGGCCAGGAAGTTGCTGCAGATGCCCCCCGTCCTGCCGGAGAGGAAGCCCATCGACGATGTGCTGTCGGAGGAGAAGATCCTGGATGGCATGGACGACGCCAAATACGCCTTCACGGACATCACCTACGACATCCCACACAGGGTCGGCACGGGTGTTGAGATACGTACTGTGTTGATGTGGACATTGTACATCCTCACCCACGTGCTTTACATATGCTGTCGTCCCCTCAGGAGAGGTTCATTGTGGTACGGGAACCCAACGGGATCCTCAGGAAGGCAACTTGGGAGGAGAGAGACCGGCTCGTTCAGGTGTACTTCCCAAAGGTCGGACGCAAACTCTCGGCGCCGCTCATCTTCAAGGAGGAGAACCTCAAGGTAGGAAACGGCAGCTCTGGCATTTCCTCTGTGCAGTGCCTTGTTGGAAACAAGCTCGTAATGTCCGTCCTCACGTTCTCTCGCTCTGTGTTAAGATGGTGTTTTCTCAGGACCGCCACGAGGATGTGTTGGACCTGTGTCTGGTCCAATTTGAGCCCGACTCCTCCGACTACATCAGGGTGCGATGCATTGATAGCAGACTGCATGTAGCTCGTTACACCATGAAATCTGCCCAGTTCATGTAAGGAGCATCATGGACGACGTCCAGTGAAGTTCGTATCCCGTCCCTTCCATGTGTCCAGGTACACGCTGCCACCTACGAGGACCTGGACAAGCACGGCAAATATGAGCTGCTGCGCTCGACCAGGCACTTTGGAGGCATGGCCTGGTACCTGCTCAACGCCCGCAGGGCCGACGGGCTTATAGTGGACATGCTGAAGAGAGAGCTGTGAGTGTGTGTGTGTGTGTGTGTGAGACAAACACATGCATGTTTATTACAGGTATGACAAGCTGTCATTAGGCCCTTAATGTGTGTGTTTGCGTGTGCGCGCCTCCAGGCTCCAGGACGCCGTTAGCCTTGTGTCTCTGTTCCACATGCTGCACCCCCACAGCGAGTCGGCCCAGGAGGCCGCCGGCCAGCAGGCCGCCGGAGCCGACCTGCTGAAGGTGAACATCTCAAATTTGAGTGAAAACATCTCCTGACGTCCGGTTTACACGCGTGTTCACTGCTCTACGTGTGCGTTGTCTAGTCCGAGAGGTGAAGTGATAATGACGACTTCATGGGAAAAGGTCGCGGCAGTCATGCTTCCGTTAGTCATGCTTGAGCACGTAGTTGTGTTTTTATTAGTCTTTCACTAAAATAATAAATGCTGACGTTTCACTATTCTGATTGATCGGGTGACCTTTTGTCCTCGTGTCCTACAGATCTACGCCCAGAAGGAGTCTCAGCGGTCGGGCTACATCGAGCTGGCCCTGCAGGCGTACGAGCAGCTGGCTGCTAAGAGCTGTGCCGAATGACCGGATCCCCCCCCCCCCAATACCCCCAATAGAAATCTACAAATTCATCAAGGATGAACAAAAAGCGGCGTTCTGCTCCTTCGCTCCTCAGTGGAAGGGAAGCTGTTTCTTCACATCCACCCAAGACGTCATTCATGTGGAGGGAGACAAATCTTTCGTATTGTCTGAATCAAACAAACAAACAAACCCAAATAAAGAACTTTGTACTTGTGATGAGTGGTTGGAAGTAAATGATTTCATAGATTATTGATTGAAGCTCTTTAATTTATTTTTAAAATATGACTAAAGAACCGTCATTCCTTTAACAAAAAGAAAAACACAAGACATGTAAGGCACTTATGACAAAAACACTGGTTTTCACCTGACAAACTGAAGCAGCGGTACAAACTTTTAACCGGGCGCCCAAATATCTGATAAAAACCAAGCAGCTTCGTTTCAGGAATGTCAAGGAACAAAATCAATATTCAAACCTCAAAGGCTTTAATGGCACTGGAGGAGGAAGGAAAAGGAGTTTGACCAAGAACAGTCACTTGGAAGTGAGACCCCCCCCTTAAGATATGGATTTATATTTTGAAGCAAGTTCAGCAATTAGTTTTGTCTTGTTTCAATAGCAAATTTCCCCAATTTCCCCAACCACTGACAGGATATTTTAACTGGTCCCCAACACACACACACACACACTTTTTTTTCTTCTTCCCATCTGAGTTTGAATACAGCCTGAACACGTCCAAGGGTTAATTAATGCAGTGATGTTTGGGACTTCTTGTAGATGTGAATTAGTGAGGAATCCCTTTGGAGTTCTTTGGTCCCTGAAAACAAAAACAAACGTGCAGCTCGAGAAAGGCTCTTTGTCCTCATTCGCTCAGGAAATCTTCATCCAGGTTAACATCTGTGGTGTCGATGTCCTCCAGGTCAAAATCGTCCAGATCGAGGATCTACAGGTAGAAAAAAAACAAAGAGTTCAATACTTCACTTCGTGGTCACGCCAATATTTGTGCCGTAGGATTAAAAACCGACGTTCACCTCTTCGTGGTCCTCTGCAGGTCCCTCGTCCTCTTTGCTGGATTCCACCTCCGTCTGCTGAGCCCCTGCAGGCTCCAGCAGGTCCTCCGGCTCCACTGGGAGTGCTGTGGTCTGTCCGGGGGCCGCCTCTGGGGACGGCCCGTCCCACAGCGGGCCGTCTTCGCTGTCAAAGGAGATGAGCGGCTCCGCCGCCGCTGTCTCTGAGACACGTCCCTCGGGGACGCCAGTCTCCTCCGCGTGGGCTTTCGGGGAGATGACGCCCGCTCCCCGTCCCCCGCCATCAGGCGTTCCCCCAGTCTCGGACGACGCTTGGACGCTGCCTGTTGCTATGGTTGCACTCGATGTTTCCTCTGCTGCCGGGTCGGTTTCTGCCGTTGTCCCGAACTCGCGGGCAGCGGGATTTTTAGCCGCCGGTGGAATTTCCTGAACCTCCGTCTCAACTGACGGCCGGACGTCCTCCACCGGACTGGATCGAACCACCTGGATCGCTGTGGTGGATTCCAAAACGTCGTCCTCAGGCGCCGTCCCCGTTGCTGCTGCCGCCAAGACGGTTTCATTTAGGCTCTTCAGCGCTCCCTGCAGAACCAGCAGATATAGAAATGATAGAAACATGAACTTGAGTGAACACTGTCATTTTTTCCGTTAAAGGAGTGACATCTTTGCACGGGTCCTCACCTCCGGCTCGGCCAGCTCTCCTCTGAACTCGAAACCTGCAGATTCCTCCAGAACATTCCGCTCCTCGTTTGGCTGAAGAATAAAAAAAAAAGTCATCTCACACGCGACGCTCAAAGTATGAACAGTTAAATAACTTTAATGAAACACATTTTACAACTTGAGCAGCACATGAAGCTCCTTGCGCCCACCGCTCACCGTGACGAGCGGGTATTCTGCAGCGGGCCGGACCCCCACATGAGTCTCCTTCAGGTAACCTTCTGCCTGCAGGGCCTGCTGGAGGCCCGGGAACAGGTTGCTGTACTGGGACGGGTCGGCCAGAGCATCTGCTGCCTTCCGGTTGACCTTGGACAGACTCTCCTTCCACAGCTTCACCACTCTGGAGGCAGCATGGACACACACACACACAAACACACAGGTCATTGGAGACTTCAAATACGGGTAAACGGAGTGTGTGCAAAGTTCCTGCAGTTTCCCGTTTGACCAGAAGATCAACACAGGAACCCCTGTACCTCGACGTATGGCTGGGCAGATACGTTCTCGCCAGAAATGCTGCCTCTGGCAACCGTCCGGTTTGGATGAGAAGGTCCAGACATTTGTCCAATCTGGGAAAAACACGGAAAATCAACAACGAAAATCAACTGAGGAAGCAGCAACGAGTTGACACCGAAATCCTCGCTGCGCTCACCTCCCCTGCAGGAAGGAGGTGAGGAAGGCCACGTTGGTCTTCCCGTCCCTCTCCGCCCCCTCGGCCAACTTTCCCACCATGTTGGCGTTGCCCGAGGCCGTGGCCAACAGCAGTAATCCCCCATAATCCTGAGCGCGGTGCAGGCACTCCTGAGCCAAGCCGAACTGGCACTTTGCAGTCGCCAGCTCAGCCAGCTGCTTCCATTTGTGCTCCGACTGCCCAAAGAGACAGGAGAGAGGATTATCACAGGGGGGGGGGGGCTCTGACTAACGCCTGGGACTGCATGAGCCAGAACAACAGAGTCGGTCGGCATCAACATCTATTGAATGCTTCCCGCCACGTAATCAGCAACCATTTCTCGGTGTCGTATTGAAGGTTTTATTTTTTAATTGAATGCAAACACTCGTGATCTCCTGAGGACGAATAGGCCCACGTGACAGCAGCCGTCTGGACAGGTTTTGCAGGGTAAAAGCTTTAGTTGGCTCACTGGTTTGGACGTGACTCAACAAACGCCCATAATATATTCCACCTGTGTGTTCTCTGCTCTGACGGAGAGAACTGAAAACATTACAATCTCGACTCTCCCATAATGAACAGTTGAATGTGAAGCGAAGAGCCGCGTTGAACCGATGGTGGTAAAACCATAAAAGCTCCTGCCGTGTCTTCCTGAAATGAAGTGCTGGTCGCGGTTTGCTCACCTGGGCCTCCGAGGCCAGCTGCTGCGCCATCTTCAGCTCTCCCAGATGCAGGGCCAGTTCGAACTGGTGCTCCGGGTCGGTGGACACGGCCAGGGCCTGCTGCCTGAAGCCCTGCACAGCACACGGGGACACCACGCACGCTCACACGCGCGTCCCGTACGCGAAACAGACCACGCGTTCCGTCCCCGGATCGCCGCTCGGCGGACGCACCTGTTTCTCCAGAAAGTTGGCCACCCGGGTCCTCTGCTCCTTGGGGATGGTGGGCAGGACCTTGTCGGCCGTGCCGAAGTCCCGCCTCATGACGGCCGTCTGGTACTCGAGGACGGACAGCAGCAGCGCGTAGCTGACGACGTTCAGCTCCTTGTCTCCCAGGTAGAGGCGGTCGTCCTTGGGGATGTAGCCCAGCAGGTACATGGTCCTGCACGCGAGAGGGAGCCGCTCTAAACAAGGCGCTGAGGGGAGCTAGGGGGGGGGTGCAGGTCTCTGTGAGTGCGAGTGCCGTCGTACCTGTCCAGGTGGGCGATGGTGATGATCTCTCCTCCGACATAGTAGTTGAGTCTGTTCAGCGAGCTGGTGTAGATGAAGCAGTCGCCCACCCAGGCCCCCGTCTTCACCACCTCGGAGATCTCCCCCAGCACCTGGTGGGCGGGAACAACACCAGGGAGACACAGATGGTCACTGGGGACGGCGTTAAGATTTTCACTCGCGTTCCAGAGCGCCGACGTGAGCCGCTTCCCCCGACCTCGAAGGCGCCCTCGATCCCGTCCTCCGTCGCCTCCTCCTTGGACTCCAGAGCCGCCGCCACTCGGTCCGGCAGGTACCGCAGCACAAAGAAGGACTCGTCCGTGCCGATGCACACCAGCTCCCCGGAGTCAGACCAGAAGATCTACAGGAGGACACGGAGACCAGACGCAGTCAGAGCGGCGTCCCGCCGATGGTCGGCGGCGCGGCGAGAGCCGGCGGGCGCGCAGCGGGACGCACGTGTTTGGGCTGGATCTCGATGCGGCGGATCAGGTCGCAGGTCTCCCAGTCGTAGAAGGCCAGGCCGCTGTTTGACCTCACGCCCAGCAGGAAGCCACCGAAGACGCCTGTGAGACGGCAAGGACAGGCGGGCATTGGACGCGGACACACGCACGCACGCGGCGGCGGCGGCGGCGGCAACAACGCGAGAGAAGAAGCTCACCTTCAGCCCCGAAGTCCGGTTTGAAAGTCTTCTTCTCCTTGAAGTTCTTGAATACTTTGATCATGCTGCTGCCCTCCCGTATGGCGTACCTACAAAGAACACAGACATCATCATCATCACGCGCCTCGCCACGTCACATGCTTTTATTAATGTACGGAATAGACTTGCAATTCAGTGAAAATGAAACTAAAACCAAGAGACATTAGCTTAGCATAATGTAGAGGTCGGATGCAGAGCATCAGAAATAAGGAACATTTAAAAACTGCTAATCGCCTGCTGACTTATCGATCTTCCGTCTACATTTCCCACAATGCCGAGCGCCTCTCGAGGACGTACTGGGAGGAGTCGTGGGCCCAGACGAACTCTTGAGCCGAGCCGAAGCTCTTGTTCCTCAGGGCCATGGCGGTGTAGATGATGTACTCTCCGTCTCCGCACACCACGACGAATCTACAGCAAAAGCACAGGTTTCGAGCTTCATCCCCGGAACGATCACGTGACCTGGATCGTCACGCGCCGGTCAAGACGCCGGATCAAAAAAGGATGCCGTCGCTCCCCGAAATCCTCGTCTCACCTCCCGTTGGGGCTGTGCTGGATGGTCTGGGGGAAGATCTCACAGCTGCCCATGTCCTTGACGCCCAGCGGCAGCCTCTCCCCGTCCCGGACCTCGGCCTCCCCCATGGCCTTCAGGTTGGCCTGCTGCACCTCGGAGTGGCGAGCCCACATGACCTTCCCGCTGGCGTCCATGGACATGGCCGGCTCCTCGCGGCCCAGCTGGGAAACCCATCGGGGAGGGGGGTATTTAATATGTCTGACCGTTTCCCCCTTGAGGTGCAATACAACCGTGCACATCTCTCAGAGAGGGCACCTTGATGATGATGCTGCCTTCGTCGTAGCCCAGCGCCACGCTGTTGGAGCCCGGCTGGCCGCTGATGCACCACACCCGCTCCATGCCGTAGTTGAGCGTGTTCTCCAGCCGGTAGGTGTTGGAGTGCCACACTCGCACGGTGCCTGAGGGGGTGGGGCGCGGCACAGAGGGCCAATTGAGTCACGGTGGGGTTTTGAGGGGGGTGGGAGGGGTTTGCAAAACGCCACCTACCGTCTTCGGAGCCCGTGAGGATGATGGGCAGCTCCGGGTGGAAGCAGACGCAGGTCACGTTCTGGGCGTGACCCTCCAGGGTCTGAACGCAGGTTTTGTTCTGGTGGATGAAAACGCACAACGTCACCGACGTCCGTTTGCACATCTGCACAGCTGATATTACAACACGTACTTCTTTATGTACGTGAAACACAATACTGCGTTCATTCAGTGCGCTGTAGGAACGATGTGGAAAAGGACTTTTGTTAATTTGTTTTCTATTGTCCTTCATACTTGAAACCGTGCAACACTTTTTTAACGAGATAAATTGGATGCAGCTGGTTTTCCCTCATATAAAATATTTTTAATTTAAATGTATATGTTGTTTGAAAGCATAAAGAAGTAAACGCAGGAACCGATGTTTGTTCATATGATGAACTACAGGCGGATTAACGTGTGGCGGCGGGACAGGAACCTGATAATCCCAGATCTTCACCAGGCGGTCGTCCGCCCCCGATATGAGGTAGGGCTTGTCCCCCCCGCTGTAGTAGTCCACGCAGTTCACCCCCTTCTCGTGGCCCTCCAGGGTGAAGTTGGGGGTCCTGGAGCCCAGCTGCCACACCTGCAGCGGGGAGGCGAGGAGCATCGCTGGATCACCTCGCAGAAGATGCACACATTTCCCATGAGGCCCGTCACACCCCCCCCCTTCTGTTTGGGTCTGGTGTGTGTGTGTGTGTGTGTGTGTGTGTGTGTGTGTGTGTGTGTGTGTGTGTGTGTACCTTGATGGTCCGGTCCAGAGACGCGCTGGCAAACTGGTTGTTGTCCTTGGGGTTGATGACAACCTGCATGACGTAGTGAGTGTGTCCCTCAAACACCTGACTGCACGTCCACTTTCTGTCCCAGTCCCACAGCTTGATCAACATGTCGTCTGAAAACACACACACACACACACACACACACACACAAAGAGGTGAGAAAAGAAGTGCAAGAAATGCAACCGTCCTGTGCGTCTGCGGCCGCGTCCTACCGCTGCTGGTGAGGATGTAGGGCTGCGTGGGGTGGACCACGATGCAGCGGATGTAGTCGGAGTGAGCCTCGAACATGTGGACCCGCTCCAGAGTGTTGTAGTTGAACACGCGGATCTGCATGTCGTCCTGGGGGGGGGGGAAGAGAGGTGGGCGAACAATGGTGACTCTTTTTGTTCAGGGAGGAATGACACAGAGGAATTCTTGTTTATTGTAATAAACGCAGTACTTACTGCTCCGGCGACGACCCAGTGTTTCCGCGCTACAAACCTGGCCACTCGGACCGGCAGGTCACACAGCTCGAAGGTCTTCAGCATCATCTACACACGCACACAGGAGACCAGATTGAGTACAGACCCACGTGCAGCGATCAGACAGCGGCGAGCGGCCGATTCCGGGATACCTGCGTCTCGTGGTTCCAGACCACCACGGTGCCGCTGTACAGGCTCGCCACCATCCAGGGCTCCCGGGGGCGAGGGTCGGCCCTCTGAAGCGGCTCCCACCAGAAGGTAACCTTCCGCCTCGCCTCCCACCGCAGAGGCTAAAACACAAAGAGTCAGTGCATCAGGGGGATGTTCGCCCTCATTGTTGTCGTCGGACTGGGGGGGTAGAGGGGGGGGGGGGGGGGGACTGGAACAACCCATTCCACATTTCATATGCATGACTGCCTGATAGTTTCTGGCTCACCAGCAGCGTACTTTTGATCTAGATGCTAAAAAAAAAAAGGTCCCATTAACTTATTTAAAAACATCGTCATACTACAACATTACAACGTCATGCAACACGGAAATAAAGTTTTTCTCAGCTTTTTTTTTTTTTTTTTTGCTGCTTTTTTTAAACTTAGTTGATCTTCGATCGTTAACATTTTGTGGAGTAGTTTAGTTGAAGTTGTCGCGTGGAAGCTGCTACTCGTACCGGTGTGTTTTGAATGATTGACGTAATGAGCTTTGCGGGGAGTTATTGAACGCAGCACGGTTCAGCGTCCCGTACCACCACAACAACAAAAACAACAACACTAACAGAGACAACAACAACAACAACACGAAGACAAAGTCGTTCCCTCGTTTCCTCCTACCATGGTTGCACGTCGGTGTCAGCGGGGCTGTACAGTAACACGACCGGCCTCCCTGTTGCCCTCGTCGGGCTTCCACTGAGCGACTCTGCGGGGGAAGTTTTGTGAGCCGCGACAGCGAGAATAAAATGCACCGCTTCCGGTGTTTAGTTTCACAATAAAACTCCAGGCTGCAAGAGGATTGTCCGACAAACGCAACGAACGAGGGAAACTATGTCGAAGGGGAAATTAAAAGTTTTTTCTTTTTAATGTAGGCTATGTTTCTGCTGTACGCGTCTTTTTTGGAGTGCTGTTTTATTTGTTTTTTAATCAGTACTTTGTTCCTGCGTAAAAAAAATAAAAAGCGGCATGGGTAAACGTTTTATTTTGGAGACAATACGCCCCGTTTCCGGTTGAAATCGCCGGTTCGCTGTCTAACTTGCGCGCGGCTCCGTTTGGCGACGTGGATCCTCTCGGTGCTCGAGCCTCGCTTCCGGTCTGCGCAGCACGAGATCCGGCGGAGGAGCGGAACACGTCGTAACCGAAAGCTGCTGCTGCACCTCGAGGAGCAATTGTTCTACTTTGGACTCTAAATCTCTGGTTTCCTCCAAGGCCGAAGATGCAAATCTCTCAGAGAACTTGGGAGTTGAAATGAAATGAACTTAGTGCCACGTTGTCGTCGTACTTTATTCCGACGTGATACTGTTATGGACAAATCATGTTAACATAGACAAAATAATTGTCAGAATGAATATTGAGGACGATCAGGCAAACCTCGCCACGTCAAACGGCTTCGCGGTTTGGAGCAGAAGGTCGCGGCGTGTCAATCAAGGCTCCTCAGGCTCCAGTAGGCCTCCGTACTACTGCCTGCAGTTAAAGAACTGCTGCTACTGGGCGATCGTATCTCCGAATCGTTGCGAGATGGTAGTTTTTAGAGGTGAATACCCTCTAGAATTTGCATTTTTGAGCCTTAGTTGAAGAACTTAAGAGAACTTCACCGGCACGTCATCAGTGAGCGGTCGGCCAGTTTAACACCACGCGCTCTCACCCGAGGATGATCACTTCCCCGGCGTGTGTCTGAAATCGGAGCAGTCCAGCTCACCAATGGCTTTGAAGTTGAGTCCTAGTTTAGAGATAAGCACGAGTGCAAGTCAAAAGTAAAGTGAAATTGAAATATTCAACCCCAAAAATGTACACTTTATTTTTTTTTTGCATATACATTGCATTTTTCAATGTTCAAGACGACCATTTGTTTTTCAAGTGATCGACATTTTTGATTTGGCTCCATAAAAATGTGTAATGTAAACCTCTTATGATCATTTGATCATCGTCACTCTAAGAAAACTCTATATAGTAAAAGGTTTGGACACTGTCATTGAATTGAACAAAACCTTTCACTGGTAGTACATGAATTTAATTTGTTTTTCTCCCAAAATTCTACACACACCACCACCACCGATGCAGCCTGAGTGGTCCTGCGAAGAAGAACGGGATGAAGTGCCCAACAATTGGTGTGGCCGGCATGTAGCGTTGTACCTCGAGAGACTCATAGCTGCTGCCAGCAGAAGGGGGGGGGGGGCCTGACGCTGCCAGACGCTGTGAATAATTATAATCATTATTATGTATGTGCGAAAAAGCACTCAGTTGTAACACATACTTTTATATTATCTTAAATAAACAACTACAAAACAACAATTGGGATCCCCCAGTCAGAGCCGGGAAAGGGAGGTTTGGGTTCCCCTGTTGCCCCCCGCGACCCGACCAAGCGGCTGGAGATGGATGGAAAACAACAATGGTGTTCAATCCATTTATTACAGGTCTTCATTTATTACACGCTATCACATTATAAACAGGCAGTCGTTGGCAGATGAGGGTCTCCTTGGTCTCATTGGGCCTTCTTGAACACTTGGCGGCAGACTTTGTCGAGCACGGTGATTTCCTGAGAGAGAGAGAAGAGATGAAGACCTTTAGACCGGCGAGCCCAACGTCAGCAAACAAGCGTCCTTCTTACACAATCCGGGCTGAGCTCACATCGGTTCGCTCCAGATAGCGACACATTCTCTTGTTTATTGTTCCTGCGATAGTCTGATGTAATTATCGATGGTTGGGAAGTACTCCAGTACATCCAATATCTTTGTGAATCTTTGTGGCTGCGTACTGGAGTGACTGAATTTGGATCTGATTTCCTGTCAAACACCATCGGATCATTGCCCCCCCTTCCTCGTCCCTCGGTTCTCTCACCACGTGTAGCAGGTCTCCAACGATCCACTGCTTCCAGCCACGATTCTCCTTCTCGCCCTTCTGGACACACACCAGCTGGTCCCCGTCCCAGGTGACCAGCGTCTTGACGGCAGCACACAAACACTTTTGATGCTTGTTCACTCGAAAAAAAACCCGAGAATAACCGCAGACACAAGAAAAACACCCACCATGACCTTCCGGTTGTCCAGGGCCTTCGTCTGCTCCTCAAACTCCTGCCCCACGGTGAAGTCCACCTCGTAGTTCCGGAAGGTGCTCAGGGTCTTTGTTTCGAACCTGTCTCCGTTCTGGACGATGACTTTGGTCTGGTGCAGGTGGCAGGCGATCTTCCTGGTGGCAAAGTCGATGTCTGCAAAGCGCCAAACGGACGGTGGTCAGAGGAAACGGGGGGATTATTTTGTTTCCCGCATACGCGGCGGCGCCCGCGGGGCCGCTTGTTGTGCTCCTTCCCCCGCTGGTCCTTCTCGACAGTCTCAGTCGCCCTTTAAAAAATGACCTCGCTCCGAGTCAAACGGGTTCCCCCGCGCCGGCCCTTTAAGAGCCACCCCGGCCGCTCAGATATTCATATCCCATTTGCCTTAACCTGAAAATTCAATTTCCTCCTATCGCTCTTACAGATGAGGCCCCCGTATTTACCCATCTAAATAATGTTTTTGACCCATTTCCATAAGGATGTCATTTTCCAATCCGCTCGATGGAAATGAGGAGGGAGGTTTTCGGGCTCTCCGTGTGAGCCGAGTGCACCGGGGCTGTTTTATGAATTGCAGATTGAGTCGTGAATAATGAAAGTGTTCCCGGGGCCCCTCCATCATCGGCGCGTCACAATGGAGGAGCGGCTGTCAATCGTCCCTCTCCCGCTCCCTTCCTCTTATTTTATTTTATCTTTCTAACGACGAGCTGGCCCGCTGCCTGATTCCGGGGGGGGTCGGGATCCGTCTTCCTTTTCCCGCGGATCAGGAGGATGAAATGCGGAAAGCAGTGAATCAATACTTATTTGGCGCCATAACAGACGGCAGCCGCTCTTGGGAGGAGGGGGGGGGGGGCGGAGGTTAACTCCGCCCCGACAGCAGTTTCGATGAAGAAATGAAAGCGTGCCACAGAATTCCTCGTCCCCTTCTCTCTCTCTTCTCGCTCCAAACGTTATGCTGGGCCCCCCGGCCTAACGGCGCTCTCCAATTTGACCCTTATTTAGGGTTACACACCCGCTGTCTTTTTGCTATACAATGTTACGAGTGTGAGAGAGGCAACTCACCGAGGGCTTTCATGACGTCCTCGAAGTTCTCGCTGCTCACCATCTCCCAGCGTCCGTTATAGTCGGCGGGCATTTTCGTTTAGTGGTTTGCAGTTTTGAGGTGGAAGCTTTCACTGTAAGAGGCCGCTCATGCTCAACCCTTTATATACGCTGCAGTTTGTGTGTGTGTGTGCCAAAGGACAGGGTCCGCCTGATAATCTTACTCAGAATAGTGCGCGTGTGTGTGTGTGTGCGCGTGTGTGTGTTTGTACGATAACGATTCCAGGCTTCATGTACTTCCCATATTACGCTCTCGGATGCACTCAGGGAGTCTTCCTCTCACAATCTCCCATTTCCTCCCGTCCGGCCTTCAGCGATCACTCTCTGCGATGGAGGGAAGATGGAGAGGAAGGTGGGGGGGGTGACAGCTGATTACCAGCTGATAACAGAACACCTCGGTTCATTCCTTCAGATTTCTGTCTGAGGGGGTCGGGCGGGGGGCTGATGTTTTTTTTGACGAGTTTACTATAATTTACTTCATTACTCATGTTCCGGAAATGAGTTGTAATGCGTCGATCGATGCAGTCTTCTTTCAAAGAAAATCACAAAAGTGCAGCTGCAGTGCTCGGACTGACCCGCTTGACCTTGAGGAGGCATGTGGTGGCATGTGGAGGGTCAAAGGTGAGGTGCGCCGAGTGTGTTATGTTTTATCGGAGCTGATAAGATGCGCTGATTCGCAGAAAGTTATCTCTTATTTGCAGCCAATGGCCGGATTGCACCCTTCGGCCGTAATGTAGTAATGTATTAATGTATTGAATAATTCCAAGTACGCTAATAACTATTTTTATATTAACAGCAGAGGGAATGGGTCATTTAAAGAGCTTGTTTTCAGCCGCAGATAGATCTACTCAAGCCAATTAATGAGACAAAAAGTGGTGGTAAAATTAGAGGTGGGAAAACTCTGAATTTTGTGATCATACAGACCTCGACGCGATGCGAAGCAACGCAACACAAAGCGTCACGACTCTGTAAGGCTGTCCTGGCTGTATTGCATTATGTTATCAGTAAAAGTCATATACAATCAATGACAATGAATACATGTGTTAGTAGTTTGTAGTTTATTCAATTTAAGAAAACAGTAAAGAAAAGTATGTCAACACAACACAATTGCAGATTAAGAACTATCTACATATGCAGTCTCCTTTTTACAGTACTTTTACTGACTTGTTTTCAAATAATCTATGTTCACAGTGTGTTTCGCTTACAGGCTACTCTACACCTTTCATGACGTCAAATAATTGATTAAGCATATAGGCCTATTCAGTGAAGCAACAGCTTTGCTCCCTGCTCACGTTTTCTATGCGACAGCAGGACATGATGCTCATCGTGAAAGTAAACAACTAATATATTTGACCTTGACCGCGAAATTTGAAGATTCTATAGCTAAACTAAAACATTTCACTTAGCATTTCTCGTAGCTATGTCTAACTGTCTTGCACATAATTTGTCGACAATTTTTCAATGAATTAGCCTAATCTGCAGGAATACGCGTGAGGATAATTACTCATTTTATTAGGTCTATTTATTAGCCCTGATGGCGACAGCAGCTTCAAAAAGTCACTGGTGATCAGGAAGTGGAAGTAACGAATTACAAATACTCACTTTACTGTAATTAAGTAGAATTTTTGGGTACCTGTACTTTACTTGAGTATTTTCTTCAAGTGTGTAATTTTACCCATACTCGAGTACAATTTACACCATGTAATCTACTTTTACAATCAAAAGTCGCTATTGAGTACGTCCACAATTTAAAATAATATTCAAACCGTCAGATTTTTATTTTTTTTCAATGCAAATCCTTATTGGCTGTCAGATTATTCTAGGACGTAATATAAGCAAAGGCCAACACGCTGCTGCAGCGGGCAAATGTAAAATACACAGCGGTGTAAAGAGCGGACTGAGAATTTGAGAAAGAAGCCAAAATGGAGACAGAAGTGACCACGGAAAATAATGAAGAAAAGAACGTCCCACCGTCCATCCACTGTCCTACAGGTCGAGACATCTTAGAGCGTTTCTCTCTTGCACGTGTTTTGCCGTTTGCACGCGTTTGCATGTGTCGCCCACCGTAAAATTGCCTGTCATTTTTCTGTATTGTTCATCTCAGAAATGTGCTTTAAATTTGAATTTTATACATCGAATGCCTGCTAACGATGCAATAAAACATCCATCGGTTAAAAAGTAATTTGTACTCTAAGTAGTAGTAGTAGTAAAA